CAATAGGGATATGAATTCATCCATGAGAGCAATGAATTTATACTCTACATAGAGACAAGCTTTCTCCCATTTCCTCCCATTTTCAACATCAGTCCTTCAGCATCGTTGTCTTGCAGTCTCTCAAACCCCTCCTCTTCCCTTAATACAGTGACCACCACGTGGTTTTACTTGCTTCCCTGCTCGATTGGTCTAGACCAGAAGACAACCATGTTCACACCGAATCCTCTGATGTGCCAAAATCTTTTCCTCCTCGCCCTTCCCATTTCAGACCTGGGGATTTCAGGGTGGGGTTTCATGCCTTCCCTCCTCTGTAGCAAACCTGTTGTCTCTGTATCACAAAAGATGATAAGACGCCCCAGACCCAGCCGCTGTGCTTTCCCTGCACCTCTACCCCATTTCCATCTTCACCAGCCCTCTCTCCCCGACCTCTTGCTCACAGGAATGAAGTCTGTTTCCTACCTGTGTATTTTTCTACCTGTCCAAAGGTACTCCTCTTACATCCCTTCTTCTTTCCCTGTGCTTTTTCAACTTCTCAAGAGCATTCACTTAACAATAGGTCATTCTTTTGTCTGTTTTTGTAAATGTCTGCCTCTCTGTGGCACCTTCACCTCTGCTTATGAACAAGTTCAGCTTTTCCTTGTGAAAACAAAAGGAAAAAGCGTTTAAAGTTTTTTCTTAGGTCTTTTGTTTGTTTGCAGGGGACTAGGTCAATAGGTTTATTTATTTTTTAATGGCGGTACTGGGGATTGAACCCAGGACCTCATGCACGCTAAGTATGTGCTCTATCCCTGAGTTATACCCTCCCCCAAAATGAAAATTTAAAATAAAATTTTCCCTAGTCAGCTATCCTGTCACTGCTCTGCTCTGTTTCACCAAAAGAGAGATTATATCTCTTTGCTCATTTACGTGAGTATGAATTTCTCATCCTTCCTACCTTTCCACGTGGCTTCTGCCCAACAAGTATGCCAGTCTTTTTTCAGAAGTGAATTCGAAGAATGGGGGCCAAACTCTGAAGCGTGATGGCTAGTTCTGAGTAAAGACTGAATCCAAATTAAGGCATTACAAATAATAGTATCCCTAACTACTGTGCTCAAAGCTTATTTAGTGGAAGAGGCATATGGAGGGAAACGTAGGTGGGAAAAGGAGGGGGCAGAGGCGTGGACTAGGGGAAGGGAGCTGAGACGCTGTCCGAGGGCTACAGGGATGACTGCCTTTAAGAGTCGCATGTTGTAGGTGTGCTTCGCTGCGAAGACTAAGCATGGAAACCAAGCGAGGGCCTAGGGATCGTGGCATCCTCTGTAGGCTGAGTCTCCCATCCCCAACCCGGTGTCACCACACTGTTCCAGATTCTTAACACCCAGATGATTGTAATCGTTGCTCAGATGGGGTCCCTGCCTCCAGGCACTTCTCTCTCCCTCTCAGGTCACCCTGCGTGCTAATGCTGGTATCTGGTTTTCTGTGCATGTAGCAAGAACTAAGAAAATGTGAATGAATGAAATAATGGATGAATGAAAAGAATTCCCAAGTTACAAAATCACTACGGCCCTCATGAAGATTGTTTTAAAGTGATGAATTATTTTTAAAAAAATGTAGGCAGAAAAAACAATATTATTTTACCAGAGCCAAGAAACCTTGGCAAGGGATGGGGTAGGGAGTGGGGACAGTGGGGGGCTTTTTAAGATATATAAGACAAAAAAAAGAAGGGACTTGAAAACACACACACACACACATACACACACACATTTTCCAAAATTTAATTTGCTATATAGCATTTTATGCTCCAGTCTTTACAGAAAGCTAGAAATTATACAGAAGTAGAAGTTTATTCAAGTCATAAATGGTAAAAGTCTAACACATGCTGATTAAACTGTAAGCCTCCAGTTAAAATACTAAAATGCCAATAAAGTCTGTGAATTCAGCCTGTTCCTATCACTAGATGGCAGACACCAATGTCAATCACCACTGATTTTTAAAAAATCACTGAACTACCAAGTCTCGATTTCCCATAAGGTAAAATTACATCAAAATTATGATTATTTTACAGTGCATTTTTATTTTATTATTAAAATCATGTTCTCTACACCATTATTCTGTTGGAGAAAGCATGTTTATATTTTTTATTACTGCGTTTTCAGTTATAATTTAGCAATAGTGGTTTGCGTGAAGTTTGTCAATTTAAGATCTGTTTCATTCTTTCTACAATGGCACTATCACTTTTTTATTTCCAGTAGATATCCGAAGTTGATACTTAGTTCTTGAATCTATTTAGGACAGTCTCAACATGGTTTAAAAAAGGCTCTTGGGATCCAACCTGAGTTGGATAATTTAGAAAAACTTCAAAATGTTAAAATGCTGTAAAAAAAAGAATTTTGTAAAATGGGAATGAAAATAAATAAAGCTTTTGAATTTCCCTATGGAAAATAATCTCTTTTTTTCCTTTTATTTCTTTTTTTTTTTTTTTGGCGAGGGGAGGTAACTAGGTGTACCTATTTAATCATTTTCTTTTTAATGGAGGGACTGGGGATTGAACCTCGTGCATACTAGGCATGCACTCTACCACTGAGGTATATCCTCCCCCCTAGAGAGATAATCTTAATTTTATGAAAAAAAAATGATATTGCTGGTGATGCTTCAAAGAATAGTTTCAGGAGAAAAAAAATTTGAAAGCATCTGTAAGATACAGGAAGTTGACTACGATTGGGAAACTATTCCAGCAAGTCTGAACGCGGTCATCAGTGAGGTCCTGGCTTCAATCTGCTTATGATGAATGACTTTTTCATGTCAGTTAAAAAAAAAATCAGAGCCTCAGACGGCACTAGGCCACTCTTTTTAGTGCTGAATTATCAGATGGCATTAACGGCCAATTTTTCTTTTTCAAATGAGAAACTGCGGGTAAGCCAGGAGGGACCTTCCTTTTTATCGTGCGCTTCTCTCTGGAACCTCTACTGCAGCGCTTGTGACTTGCAGAAGTTGGAGTGATTTATTTTGTAAACTTTGTTTTCATCACCGTCGATAATAGTCAGACGTGGTCCTGAACTCAGCATCACCGTGTTTAGGGCAAGGGTAAGCTGACGTTTTCCCTGAAGGTCCAGGTAGTGACTGTGGCGGTCTTTGTGACTACGTGGCGTCTGCAGCAACTCTCCGTGTCTGTGGTTGTGGTGCAAACACGCTCGAAGTCCTGCTAGACAAATGCGTGTGGGTGTGTGCCAAGAGGACTTCATTTACCAGAACACGCAGCGGCTAGGACTGGGCCATGGTTTGCTGGCCCTGATCTAGTGGAGTATCTTTGAGTGGAGGCAGAAAGAGAAGAGGTTCAGAGGACTTAAAAAAGTACCAGCCGCTCATAATGTATAATTCGTTAGGTTTCCGGGGCTCCAAAAATAAATATTACAACAAAATGCAGTGCTTTAGAAACCCAGATTTGCTTTCACTGGTTGCTTGTGTAGTAAGTCATGGTTTGTTGACTGAACAATTCTCTGAGTCAACAAACATCTACTGACCAACACTCTACTGGCAACAGATAAGATATAAAGCATACTAAGCCTGGATCCCAGGACCTACACGTTTGAAGAAAGATGTCTCGGGCTTTCATATTAAAGAGCAGGCTCAGAAGATTTATTTGCTCCCCCCCGCCGAGTCAGCCTTTGACACGAGTTCCCACAGAAACACGGCTACTTCCTAACTCAGTTCGGGGGAAGACGGACACTGACTGGAACTTCCCTGCGTTCTCATCCAATCACTCCCACCCAAAGGACTCCTGAAGCCAGGCTTCCTCTTTGCTTACTTTATTTTTACTTAAGAAAAGGAGACCCAAAATGCTAATGTACTGTGTCATACTTCTTTATTTTGAGGTTAGAGGTGGGTTGGGTTTCAATTCCTGTATCTGACTGCAGTAACAAACTGACCAAATTTCATTTCCTCTGGGAGACAGCTGAGATAGATAAATATATTTTAAAATCCGCTGTTTAAAACGCTTGCTTCTGGAGAAGAGGGCACATAGACCTAAAAGGAAAGGCCAGGGGCAGCAATTCAAACAGCCTTCCAGCCACATTTAAACTGTGACTCACCTCAAAACAGTAACTATTCAGGTATTTGGGGAACATGGCCTTCATATTTCTAACAGATTTCAAGCAATCGTTCTTATCAAATTTATCAACAACTTCTAACAACTGGTTAAATCATAAGAATTGTTGAAGGGTTATGATTTGAATTCATGATCTGGTGGTTTGAAAAGCTTATCTCATCCAATGTGAAAAACAATTTTTTTTTTAAAATGTGAAGATAAGAATGATGATGATTTCACAGACTGAATCGGTAACACCAGAAGTCACAGTAATTCAGTAAACTAGCTCAACTTGGAATTCGTCGGATTAAACAGTAGGATTTACTGTATGTAAACTTTATGTAAGCAGTAATTTTTGTGACTTTTAAACAATGATGATTATTGACAGTTTAGGCCATTTGTAACCGAAGATGTGTGTATCTTCCTAGGAAATTCTTTGTAATATTACCAAGCTGAAACCTTCTATATTCACTTTAGTCCATGGTAACACGTTAAGATTTTTCATAATTCTTCCATATTGGTGGAATGCCATATGTACTAAATTACACACCCTATAAAAGTATCATCAAAATAAAGCAAGTTATCAGATTACAATAGTTCTTCAAATACTAAGCCATAACTTCTATATATTAAAGCAAGTTTGTGCTCATGGACACCGACCACTAATAGATTAAGGTGAGGATGTAGCTTAATTAACAGTGGTGCTGTTAAAATTGAGGTCATGGTGCATATCTGACGCATCAGTGTCTAAAATCTTATAACGTGACTTAAGAGTCCAGCAATGACTATGCCAGACTCAGGTCCAGCACGAGGTGGAAGTGAACTGCGTTGCATTCTAAATCCGCGGTTGCAGTTTCTAATCCAGCCTAGGCGGCGCGGGGAGGAGGATGCTGGGCGCCCTCCAAGAGGTCTCACCAGGCTGCTGTGTGCTCCGCAGGATCTGCCACTGCGAAGGGGATGAGGAGAGCCCCCTCATCACGCCCTGTCGCTGCACCGGCACCCTGCGCTTCGTGCACCAGTCCTGCCTCCACCAGTGGATCAAGAGCTCGGACACGCGCTGCTGCGAGCTGTGCAAGTACGACTTCATCATGGAGACCAAGCTGAAGCCACTCCGGAAGGTACGTGTCGCCGGGAAGGCTGCACCGGGCAGCCCCGGCCACGCAGGCTTGTTTTCAAGACCCCTTTTCTTTTCCTGATAAGATTTTTGTTTTACATTTTTTATTGAAGTGTAATTGATTGACAATGTTAGTTTCAGGTGTACAGCGTAGTACTTCAGTTACACACATACACACATACATATGTTTTCTTATCAGATTCTTTATCATTATAGGTTATTACAAGAAATTGAATATAGTTCCCTGTGCTATACAGGCGGGCCTTGTTTACTATATATAGTGTGTCTGTTAACCCCCAACCCCTAATTTGTCCCTCTCTTGCCTTTCCCTTTTGGTAACCACAATTTATTTTCTAAGTCCATGAGTCTGGTTTTGGTTTATAAATAGCATTTGTATCATTTGTTTTGAGATTCCACATCTAAGTGATATCACATGATATTTGTGTTTTCTCTGTCTGACTCACTTCACTCAATATCGTAATCTCTAGGTTCATCCATGTTGCTGCAGATGGCATTATTTCATTCTTTTTTATGGCTGAGTAATATTCCTCTGTGTGTATATGTGTGTGTGTGTGTGTGTGTGTGTGTATCACATCTTCTTTATCCAGTCATCTGTTGATGGACATTTACCCAATAAGCTTTTGCTAACATGCTAATATCCCCTAAGAATCCACAACTTTTACTGAGCTCAATATGTAAAATGCAGCCTGTTTTAGATTCTAAGGGCTCTGATTTTTTTTTCATCATTCTTTAAAGTCGAAAAAACCATGTGCATCTGTGTGTACTACGTGTATGTATACGTGTGTATGTGTGCATGTGTGTGTATGAAAAATATACTTGTAAGTTAGTGTAACAATTGATGGGAGCTGTGAAAACAGTCTACTTACTGAAGTCAATAACCAAGAAAGTTAGATAAGAGATCACAAACATTAAATAATGTGAACTCACTTGATTTCTTGAAAGCCAGGCATTGGGCAATAGAAGAGAATGATCTCTTTTATAAAGTGTGGACTCCTTTTTGTGTTGGCCTTTATTTGAGGGTTTGGTTTGATGGTTCAGGTATAATCAGAGTAGATAGAATCAAAAAGTATCACTTTCCATATTGTACACGGAGCTGTAAGAAAGGTAAGTATTTTTATCTATAAACTTAATTGTCAAATTCCTCATTTCTATTATGTTTTTCTAAAGAAGGTAAGAATCTGAGTTAAATAGAAAAGTTAGCATCTAACTCAATGCTGGGAAAGGAGAGCTTGTAAAGGATGCATACAAAGGCAATGAACTTTATATAAGTTATGCATGATATAGCTGGGACCCCGGATTTTAGCATGTAACTTACCCATATTTTTGGCTAACTGCAGCCCTACATATAAGGATTCCTTAATTTCCAAAGGACAGTGTGGAGACAGCAAGTTAAATAACATATCTGCCTAGAGCTGCTTTTTCATTTAAATTTAGTGCAGAGCAAAAGTGGATGAAAAGAACACTGCTTGGAAGTAAACATGATGGGTTCCAGGATGAGCAAACAAGAATACTCCAGTAGGCATTTCTTTGGTGGCTGACCACTGCACTTCTTCATCTATTCTGTAAATAACAGAGAGGGAGGACAGCCGCCCCTGCTTTTGCGGTAGCTTTGATTTTAAAACTCTGCCAATGATTTAATAGATGTCAGAACTGGTCCACAAAATGCCAATTCCAACCAACTGGGTTATGGATTGCTTTTTTTTTTTTTAACATGGGGTGGGGTGCGCTGAGTGTCCACATGTGACAGTCTGTTCCTCTAGGTCCCAAAGCAATTGATGCTGGAAATAGAAATGGACCTGCTCCGTGCCCTTCATGTTATCCACCGAGGGATGCTGTGTGCTGTCTGAAGTAGCTGAAGGACACACTGTGCTCTGTGATTCTATACATCTCTCTTCTTCCCCCTCAGGGAAGTACAAATTGCTTCATAACATCTGTATATTTCTCCATTTTTTCTCAAGCAACATCTATATAAGATGTTCCCCTCAACTTTGTGGAGCACCACTTGAGCACAACAGTCTAGAACAGTGAAATCTGTGCATTTCCTCTTCTTCTTCCTCTCTAGCCCTACCACGTAATGCTGTAGGGAACTTGGAAAGTCTCCTTGTTGCATCTTGAGCCTTCATAGAAACCCCCTGATGTACAGCTCTAAGCCTTTCTTCGTGTTCCATCCTCAGTACCTTGCAATCCTATCAGGAGACCCTTTTTCCCTCAGCCAGCCAGTTTGCAAACCAGAGACAGGTGGCAAACACATCTATCTTCTTCATCTTCTTACTGAGCAGTTATGTTGCAGCAACCTAGTGGGCACCTCCTATTTGTTGATTAATGAAATATCCAGGTTTCTTTTTCAAAACGTTTTGTTTGGTCACAAATAGTGATGAAGAGCAGCATGTCAGTGTCCTTTGTTTTTTTTTTTTTAATCTTTTGATTGGAGTTTAGTTGATTTACAATGTTGGTTTCAGGTGTACAGCAAAGCAATTCAGTTATGCATATACATGCATATGTGTTTTTCCTTTTCAGATTCTTTTCCATTATTTGTTATTACAAGAAATTGAATATAGTTCCCTGTGCTATACTAGAGGTCCTTGTTGTTTATCTATTTTATATACAGTAGCGTGTATCTGTTAATCCCCAACCCCTAATGTATCCCACTCCTTCCTCTGCCCTTTGGTAATAATCATAGTTTGTTTTCTATGTCCATGACTGTGGTTTTGGTTTGTAAGCAGAATTTATATCATTTTTTAAGATTCCACATCTAAGTGATATCATATAATGTTTGTCTTTCTCTGAAAAATCCATTTTTAATTTTAATTTTATTTTTAGATACATAAATTTCTATTTTTAACAGCATTTATGTATCTACAGAGGATGTCAGACTCTAATCCTGCTTCCTAATGGCCCCACAAATGTGTTTCACTTGACCTGCTGAAAATCTGAACTAGTTACCAATATTTAAGTGTGTGATTATTTCACATAAGATTCCACACACCTGTAATTATTTGAAAACCCCAGTATCTGGCTTTACTGGAACCACACTCCCTAAGATGACCACCAGTGTAGCCAGGGGTAACCCTTTGAAAGGCCATTTCAGCTCTAGGCCCCCACATCTCTCAGCCCTCCCTCCTTCTGAGCCCAGAACCTCAAACCACTTCTGCTCATCTGAGCACCTCTGTGGCTCCGGTGGACAGATCTGAATTTTCAACTCCTGGTCTAACACAGTCCTAGACATGAAAAACATGTGTGTTATTTCTGCCTCTGTGATTTAAGGGACTTAAAAGCTTAGAAAAAGGATTCCACACTCTTCCTCCTTGAAATGATGGGGCCCTGGGTGACCCCCAGGAGATACTTAAATGACAGCCTCCAAAATGACTTGTCAGATTCTGAGCCTTCATGTACAGACATGAAGCATTTTTAAACATTTCTAGATGGTGTATTTTCATGGCACTAAGATTTATCCACAATTTTCTTGTGGTGGTTTTTAAGTGGTGATTAAGAATGACAGGTTTAGCATTTTGTTAGAATGTATTCAAAGTACATCCAATTAATGGCTCTCAACTCAGTAATTCAATGACAGTTTATAATATTCTAAAGACCAACCACATGAAACAATTAATTTAGCTAATGATTCTGAATTTCTATGATTTAGCCAATGAAGGCCAGTGAATCTGTTGAGATGAAATGGTTTCTTAAAGTAGGAAGGTGCAGATCTGCCTAGTCTGATGAAACCTGGGGCTTCTTAGCCTCTAAAGATATCAGTAAACCTGGCTTTGTTCATTGCTACTGTTCCTACCCCCAAATCTACAGTCAGTGAATTCATCAAGGTATCCTAATGTTTCCCAAAGAAAATCTTTAAAGTCTGAATGAAATCAAGGGCTGATTTGAGAAAACGCCATTTTCATCATCTTTAAGTCAGTAACTCAGTTACTTCTATTACATTTCATAAACGTCTCATTGATTTATTGAGATACCAAGAGTCAGAAATCATTCTCAGAGCCCAGAAAAGTCAAAAAGTCAAAAATATAGGCAGCTCAGTGACGACTCAGTGCAGTTGGAACAGGACACAATCTTGGTAAGGATGCACAAACTAATCTTTTCTGAAACAGAAGTATTGTAGGTCTGAATCTCTCCTGAATGGGAGACACTGATACAGGAGAAACGGGGTATGAGAGGATGGCTGTGTCCCCGGTCTCAGTTGAGTCCTTGGGATGTGCCCCCGCCAAGTGAGGGTCTTGGCTTTGCTCAGGGGAGAATTCGTAAGTGAGCCATAGTTGAGTGAAGGTAGATTTATTCAGAGAGATACACACTCCACAGACAGTGTGGGCCATCTCTGAAGGCAAGAGAGAGTGACCCCAAGGTGTGGGGTTGTTCGTTTTTATGGGGTCGGTAACTTCATATGCTAACAAGTGGGAGGATCATTCCAATTGCTTTGGGGAAGGGGATGGGAGTCCCAGGAAATGGGGCATCACCCACTTTTTGTCCTTTTATGGTCAGCCTTGGAACTGTCACGGCACCTTTGCGAGCACCATTCACCATGCTAATGAATTACAATGAGTGTAAAATGAAGCTCAAGGTCTACTCGGGGTTGACTCTTCTGCCATCTTGGTGCTCGTTGCTGGTCGTTCCTTTAATGGCTGTGCCCTGCCCCCTGCCCCCCTGCCCCAAAACCAGCTGCTCGACATGAATCTAAACTCATGAGGGCAGCAAATGCTTCTGCCATGGTGTGTCCTCCCCAAAAGAGTCCTCTCTGTATGTGGTTTTCCATTTACAAACCATTGGACGAATATATAAAATATGCCACTCTGTGTATTCTTTAATTCCTTGTCTCATTTTTACAAATAAAATGAGGCAGTGAATTGATTCAGTTACCTTGGCTTTAGTAACAATTAGGTTGAACCATATACTCCTGTCCATTTTGTAGCTCAGAAAGAGATGATACTGGAAAGCTCATAAAATCTAAGTTCTGTGTGAACTTATTATGCCAAATAA